TTTTAAATACATAAATCAATTTTTGCTTTATCTCTTATGCACTTTAAAATTATTATTAAAAATGCTTTTCCAATGTTTCAAGCTGTACATCACTTGTTTATGTAGGTGGATATATATAAATTGCGAAACCTTTACTATAGTTTTACCATACTAGAAATTATTGCTCTTACCTCAACTTCCATTTCTGAAGAGAAATATGAAAATAATGTACACACACTCGAATGTATTAAATAAGAATTAAAGCATTTCCCACAACTGTGAGTAAGCGAAACTCAGGCATGTTCGTTATAAACCGATATCTGCCTAATTCCATTTTTTCGTGAAAATCTGGCAAGAATGGAAAGAGAGGAGCAAGTTTTGGCTATTTTTCTTTGTGCTTATGATCTTTTATTAAATATAGCTTACTACCCAAAAAAATCATATACATCAAAAATGCAAACTTTGTAGAATGTACACAAATTCGACGAGTTTTAACAAATGTTCTTCAAAATTTTAAACTGCTAGTTTTAATAAAATTTTGTTTAGATTTTGTTTGAGTATTCAGCTTTTTAACCTTTTAGTTGACTTACCGTTGATTTTTGGCACCATTTTTTTGCGCATTTTCTGCCATTAAAAAACATGTTCGACAATTTTCTTGTAAGTAGGAAATGAGCAACACCTTCCATAAAAAAAAAGATTGCCAAAAATTCACGGTAAGTCCTAGATACTTAAAGCTTGTACTTTGTTATACTTAAATTTAATGGACTACATACTCAGAATGTTCTAGGAAATCAAACCAAAAGTTAGTGGTAGTTCACCGCCACCATGTGGTTAGTGGTAGTGCATTTCAAATTCCACTACCACTATATGCTCAGTGCATTAAAAATTTAGTGCGGCGTGCCCAGCAGTGCCGGGAATGATGCTCTTTTATCTTGCCTTTCTTTTTCATACTTTAAATGTGCAAAGAAAACCAAAAGGGAGGAAAATACAATTCCAAGTTTTTGCTGAGTTATTCAAGTTTTTCTGAAACCAATCTTTGAAAAAAGTTTAAAAACAGCATCAAAAATCTCATTACTATAATTCAGATTTAAAAAATAAGAGATTTGATATGTTTATGCACATTTTTTAAGCTTAAACGGTTTTGTCATCTAAGGCGATTTTTTTAATTCTATAAAAAAAAACTATTTTAATTCACAAAAATCTCCAATCAATTTTGGAGGTATTTTCAAATCGTAAATCTCTATGTTTTTCGAAATATTTTGGTGCAAATCTAAAAGTATAATAGACTTTATAATTCCAGTGGAAAAATACAATTTTTCTTGCATGGGGATGATGCAGTCTAATGTACCTAAATACATAATCACTGAAAATAATTCATAGGTATCAGTAATAATTTTAGGAAATTGAGATTCAAGTACGAGGATACTTGTAAGTAAAATCCAACCAAAAATTTAACAAGTAACTATTACATCATTTTAGATCAGAATTTATGCCTGGTTTTCTGTAATCCATGAATTTTAATACACTTAAAAACTTCTACACCTAAAGCCCAACTTTTTAAACGTTAAACCTAAAGTGAAACACAGAAAATCCTGTTACAATTAATTCAACTTGAAATTCAGAACGTCATTCATTTTATTAATCAGCAACAAGTCGAGTAATCGGTTAATTAAGTTCACACTCATGCCGCATATTTGCGAAACTTTTCTGACAGAAAATAAATCGTTTAATTAACCCTTTACTAAGTAGTTAAACTACATTTAATCTGCACAAGCTACATGGGCGAACGTTATGCCAGTACATGTGTGTGTATGTATGTATGTATGCATACCTACACACATACATATATGTATTAACATAATACAAAAAGTTACATATAACTACTCAGATGAGTGCAGTTGTATGATATTTCTTCTTAGTTATCACAATATTTCACAATATCACATTTTCTGTGCGAAATTAAGGAGGACTCCATATCATACTGTTTAAACCAAAAACCTTGAGAAAAGAAACAACGAAACTAGTAAAATTTCAACTGTTATTTGGAATTTCGCACAGTAGTAAGTTGACCTAATGTCCATATGTAGAAATATGTGTATATACATACATAATATTTACGATATACACAGGAACTCCAACGCGATTTAATTAAAAACTATTTTTATATTACTCTTGCCTCGGAGTATCCTTTTTCCCGCAAATGACATACTTAACTAAAATATTTGCTTTTCTTATTTTCCGCAGAAAAAAGGCGATGGTCAGCATGGAAGGTCAGTTTTTAGTGCGACAAACATATGATGATGAAATCACATACAATCTCATCGGTGCTGCGGTTGAAATATTAAGTGAGTACAGAAGTTTTGTGGCAGTTAAGCACAAAAATTGATACAAACTTGTAATATATTTACATAAGTACATTCACATATCGCTCATTTACATCGAATACTGAAATAACTCGAAAACCCCAAATTTCGAGTACAACTACTTTAAAGTTTTGCTATGGAATTTTTGCACAACATAGATGAACTGGTCATTAAGCATACATATTTAACTCATTTTGTATTGTTTCGAAATGTGACAATATCAAAATAAATGAGCGTTATGTACAGATACTTACAAGCATATATGTATACATTAACATCTATATGAGTACATTTTACATTCATTACGTTTTATAAGCCGAGCTATTTTCCACTCTGTGTATATATGAGAGGACTTTGTGGCAATTCATTATATTTTTGTGTCTCTTATCACTGCTCTTTTATCATCCTACTATTATGGTTACTTTCAGATATACCAGCGGATGATATATTGGAACTTTTTGGTAAAACCTTCTTTGAATTCTGTCAAGATTCAGGTTATGATAAAATTCTGCAAGTGCTTGGCGCCACACCGCGCGATTTTCTACAGGTGAGTAAAAGCAATGGAGTGTGCGTGCGTATAATGTTTTTATCAATTTTGTTTTCCCCCAACTTTGTTGTTACAGATGAGTTGTGGCAATCATTAATTTCATTTTCTAACTTTGTATTTTCTTTTGCGGTTGTTTCTACGTTGGCTTTGTGTGCGAGCTGAAAGGAAAAGGATGCCAAAGAATTTGAAGAAATTAAGGCTAGACAATACAATAATATAATTAATTTAATTAATCGACTGTTATTGACTACTTTATTAACCAAATAAAAAAGTGGGAAGATTTTTCCTAAAATACAGGCGCAGCACCTTAACCCGAATTTCTACTAAGTAAACTTTAACCTCAATTTACCACTATATTTTCAACAAATTTTATTGAGCTTGAGGCCGTTTTTAATGAAAAACTTAGTATGGAAAAGCAACAATAGTTTGAAAAAATTGTAGAAGTGATAGCTATTTCGGAAATCACCACATTTCCTCATCAGACATCTTTCGGTAGGATTCGAACCGACGATCCCACCGACTCAGACAGTTGCCCACGCACTGTGCTAAGTTCACCTAGCGAATTTCCACGAAATTTAAATGACTTTGAGAACATTTTCGGAATCTGAATTTTTACTGTAACGCCTGCAGTTAGCTTACGACAAATGGATTATCCAGGGTCCACTAGATGGAGGTTGAAGGGTCATATTTGCACCCACTTTTTACTTTTTTTAATTCTTAGATTTTTTATAATTTTTTTATTGTTTTTATTAATTTTCTGTGTATATCTTTAAGTATTTTATAATTCTTTTTCTTTGCTTTAAATTCCACAGCGGGGAGTTCGTTTCCTGATTCCTCTTCATTTTCAGATTTGGAAGAACAAAGGTCATCTCAATCAACCCCATTAGTCTCCTTGGGGGTTGGAAGTTCAAGTAAAGCTGTGCTTTCTGGTGACAATGTGCGGCGCTTTTGATCCAAAATTTTTTGTTTACATTCTTGATTGAAATTGAGGGATCTGTTGAATCTATCGCTCCAAAAAAATATCGACAAAATTGTCGGCTGTGTCAAAATCTGTCATAACTCTTTTATATTCGTCCACCATAAGGCATCCGCCTTAACTTCAGATTTGTAATAATTATTAAAATCGATCAACATGGCTTCATATATTCGCCAAAATTTATGATCTGCGGGATCATAGCGCATCAGTGAGATTTCTTCAGTGTGTAAACCCAGGCTCCGTATTAGATTTAGCCAGCACTCAGGTTCGGAGAACTCAACATTGTATATACTGTGGCATTGAAAAGTCATTGCAGTCGGCATCACTTCACACTGTGTCATACCAGCGCCCACTTCTATTAAGCCTACAGTTGGTCTTAATGGCCTCTCTGCGGTAAATCCTGTGGGTTTAGCAGTGCTTCCGGAGCCGCCACAGATGGTGTGGAGAGAGAGTGTGCGCTTTACTTGAAGATTGGTGAGCAAATATTGATTGGTGGTCTGCTTCACCATACCGCAGATGCATACTGATAATGGATGTTATCATACAGATGTAAATCCATGGCAATCCTATAGGCGACCCCACCTTTTATCAAAACTTGTCAACATACATTACTACAATGATTTTAATGCTTTGGGGTGTTTTGTACAACGGAGACTTACATTAAACTTTACTATGTAGAACAACACCTAAATAATTTACTTCGGGTGCAAATTGGAAGTCTAATATTCCCAGTTTTGATTTTTTTTTTCGAGTAACTGCCTCTGCTGATTTTAGAGTACTATGTCACGTTTAAGTACTTGCTGGCAATTTCTGATTTAGTCTGACTCCAAAAATACTAATCTTAAACATCTTAAACTTGATTGTTCCAAAGCAATATCTCGTACACGCCACAAGCCATACCGTGTATAAGGTGGACCTAAAATATCATAAAAGATCAAAAGGCTCTATTCAAAACTTTTAAACTCACTAAATATAAGCTTATATGCTTGTTAATTAGTTTTAACTTTATAGAGTAGACTGTCATTAAGTGGGGGTATTCATAATAAAAACTTTTCCGTTCCACCACTTGGAATCCCATATCCGAAACAAGGCCGATTTTCAAAGAAAAATCAACACATTTTTAGATTCTGCTTCAAGAAAGCAAGGTTAAAAAAATTCTTTGCTTTTCATGTGTGCGAACAATCGCGAGAAAAATTCTATCAAATTCTGGCCCACCAATTGTACGCTCTTTTAAAGTATTGTGGCTGAAAGGTTCAGTTTACAGCGGCTCCGCTGGCTTGGCCATGTCGTTCGAATGGATACCGACGCTCCAACTCTGAAAGTATTTAACTCGGAACCTGCTGGAGGTAGCAAGGAAGAGGGAGGTCCCCACTGCGATGGAAAGATCAAGAAGGACTTGGCTTCACTTGGCGTTTCCAATTGGCGTCAGTTGGCACTGAATAGAAACGACTGGCGTGCTTTGCTGAGCTCGGCCAAAGTCGCTTAGACGGTTACAGCGCAGATGTGTTCTAACACCACAAAGTAGTTTTTGTGAAAATTTAAGATAGGGGTTATTGAATATAAGCTCTCGATATGGTTAATAATGTCTCCATGATGGATACGTTCAATGAATTCGTTTCATACAATACGCTCGATAGGAACTTATATACCGTTTCTTAAATGGCCACAATTAAACTCCGATCGTCAGCTACAGCAGTTTTGTTATTTTTCAGCGACATAATTGTTATTCGTATATCCTCATAATCGGTAGGCGGTACATCTACTCCGTTATCATCGGCTTGGGTTTTGGGTTAAGCTTCTCTACTGGTATCAATGTCGTTTAACCGAGTAGAAAAGTGTTCGCACCACAATTCCATCACTCGCTAGGCTACCGCATTTGTTCTTACAGGCCCTAAAATCTTTCGTAATTCGCCTAACTTTCGGATAAAATGTTTTGAAGTTTTTCCTGGCAGCGAGCATCACAGTCTCTTTCTACTCGCTTATTTCTTGCTTTTAATTTTTTTATGTCTCGCTTCCTTCTTCAGCTGCCTACATACATCGCTTCCCATAGATGATCAGACTCATACTATTTTTGCAACTTGTAAAACTTAATTTTATTTTAATTTTTATTTCAAATTTCTTCTATCTATTCAACATTTTCTTCCTCATTTCCGTACACTCACCATCTCGTATCATCAATACCGCGTCCTTGCTATGGTATTCAATATTTTTCGCACAACAAATTTATTACATAAATTATTGCTATAAAATTGCTGCTTCACAAGGCTTTTAGCCTGTAGAGAAAATCAATAACCCTCCAGCCTGATGCGGCAATGCCACCTAGGCAGGTGTGTATTCATAACTTCAACGGAGGCGCACCAGCGTACTTTTATAGTAAGAAAGTCAGCCGACCGCACGTTCTCATTGCAAATGGAAAAGATAGTTGTTTCTCATTTGAAGCCACGTATTTCCAACAACCTGCCACTGCTTATACCTGCCACTGTCACCAACAGAATTTTTTTACTAGTTTTCGAATACCCAGCAAACATTTGGAGTCATAAATGAGTCTTTAAGGAGTCCTATTTCGGAGCTATTACGCTCATAATGAGCTCATTTAAGAGTCCGATATGAGTGTGTTTCCCTTCCTACGAATGTCAACTTATATGAGCTTAAATTCATACATCAAATGAGCCTCAATATGAGTCATATTGGACTCGTATTGGCCTCATATACGGCTCATTTTGGACTCTTTTAAAACAAGTTTTGGCCTCATATGTGACTCTTTTAGAGACCCTTATCGGCCTCATAAATTGCTACATTCGGACTCTTATTTTAGGTTGCTCTTTGAGTCTTATTCAACTCACTATATTTGCAAAGGCATTCCGCAAAAAGTCCTTGCAAATAACATACATACATACTTACATGCATATACACATTNGGGTATGTACACTTATACATATGTATGTACATATACTATGTGCCTACCGGCTTCCTTTCGTATTCGATTTATTTTAAATTTTTCTCACTCCTTCTTCAGTGACAACGTTCATCTGCTTGTGGCCATCTGCATATTCTTTATCAAGTGACAATTTTTAACTGTAAAAATACCAGTAAAAATACCAATACATATGTACAAACATATCTCACACGGTCTTCAAAAGGGTCACAACTCGAATTTACACATTTGCCAGAAAATAACAAAAACTATTTCTTAGCACATGATACTCATATGGGCAAGGGAGAATTTACTTTTACAAATTATAACAAGAATTTGCTCCAGCTTTTGCTGAAAAGTTAACAAAAACTCTGTGTACATTTTTAGCGCATAATTTCGAAAATTCCAAATTTTGAGTTGTGCCTCTTTTGAAGACGCCGAGCGATGTGTACACAACATTTCCATCATTCTCCACATTTCGCCAATTCGTCAGCAGCTCGTTATTTCACTAACTCCAGCCGACAGGGAATCATCATCGCATATCGCCTTATCGCTCGACATTCAGGCATTGCTCAGTCACTCGGTTGTTCATCATAATGGAAAATCAAATTGAATTTTACTGCAATTTCACTGCTAGTGTCCGCTTATTATCTCGTCCGCTTGTGTTACACACTTCAATATTTGTTTCTTTCCTATTATTTTATTTGTTTTAGACACAATTTTTTTACAAGCTTTTTATGTTTCTTACCCGTTTTGTTTTCGCTTTTTTTTTAGAATTTGGACGCACTGCATGACCATTTGGGCACACTGTATCCGGGCATGAGAGCGCCTTCTTTTCGTTGTACGGAAAAAGATGGCTCGTTGCTGCTGCACTACTACTCAGAACGTCCTGGCTTGGAGCATATTGTTATTGGTATTGTAAAGGTAAGTGCATACATAAGAAAGAAAAGTATTTGAATACTACCTCACCCGGCGCTCTTCGCTACACACTACAAATTTTAAGATGCATTTCTTGCTCAATATATGAAAAAATATTTTAATATCAGCAATATATGGCATTGCTTATGAATAGGTGAAATTTTTACTACCACATCTGGTGCGTAAAATAATAAGTTGATTATTTGCCATATTTTTAATAGTTCATGCATAAAATAAGTGCTATGCAGGAGTAAATCCTATCCTTAATTTTTCCAAGGAATAATAATCACTTCGAGATTGAGTGCTTGGCAACTCTAGTGAATCAGAATACATGGCCTTTCATTATTGTATCAGCAAATATTTTCAACTCGATTCACAATGATTAGTTTCTGAAAAGCTTTGTTTCTAATTGTTTGTTTGTTTTTTCTTTTTTAACTAAGCGCATTTGCTAATAGTTTAATATGTCAGCAAATTATGGAAGCCGTGAGCTATGGCTCATCAGTAAGTACTTCACGTGGAACATTTTTTTTTCATATCCTAAAATTAAATTTTTGGAAAAAATAGAAATTAAAACTGTTCTCAGTAGCTTTTCAATATTTCTAGAAAAAGGAAAAAGGCAATTCTGCAAAGTTACGCCGTAAAAAAAAATTTAAGTCGAAAATGTTTAATTTTGGAAGAAAATAAAAATTAAAACTTCTCAGTAGCTTTTCAATAGTTCTACAGTTCCTGAAAAGGAAAAAAAAAGTTTTGCAAATAGATACATAAGTGTATCAAGTACAAAGATAATGTTTTTTTTTTATAAAAGCAATGGAGGGAGCAGGAACTATAGGCTCATTCCATCTCAAATCACCCAGGCGGGCGGAAAG